AGTGAGGAAGACTGAACATTCAAGTCTGTATGCCTGACATCCTCGTTAGGGAGGGAAAGGAAATTATCAATAATGAGTCAAGGTATTCGAGTGGCCGCGCTAACAACAATTCTTTGAAAAAATTCCACACCTCAGCCTTGGACCCCCGTACGATATCCCCTTTGCTTTTTCCCACAAAAACGAAATCCAGCTTGCCCTCCGGAGACCTGTCGCCGAGGTCTGACTGCCCTACCGCAGTTTGTACATAGTTCGTGGTTCTGCAATAGATCATTTTTATTCATTAGATGTATATATTGCTTTCACAGTACCCACCATATGGTATCAAGGGATTACCTTGTCGAAAGCTTTCTCCATATCCAGGAAAGCCGCATGTAGCTCGTTTTTCTCTATATCTCCATCACTATCCGTACAGTATGGGTGATGTTAGCAGTACCGGCACCTTTTACAAATCCGCACTTATTGGATGACTACATCATCGCTCGAAATCGTTTTTCAAATACTCTTTCGAAGATTGTCAGAGTGTCTTTAGACGTGTAAACCGTCATGTTGGATAGTCTGCGATATTGCCTCTATTCTTCCATATCGAAATCGCTGCGCTCTTTGACCAGTTATGGACAGAATTTTTCCAAGGACCTGATTGAAGAGGGCTTAAGCCAAGAGGCACCGAGCCTTCCGCAGCCGTTACTCGACATGTTTCTCAGTCTTCTTCACAACAACTCCTTATACAGCGCTATTGTGTACGCCTGTTTCGCTTTCTTGACACATTTCTTTGCACCTTGTTTCTTTTTTAGAAACTGTTGCTCAACCAATCTTAACTTATGCCATTGTTTGTATGCTTAACTCTTTTTCTTTATCACCGCTTAAGCCTCTTTGCTCCGGCACCAAGTTTCTCTATCAATTCTTTTTCTTCCTGGCTTCGCACGATCAGTTCCTTATAGCTACTTTACGCTTCAAGATTGACTATCATTGCTCTGGTTTTACACATGAGGCCGATAGATTACTTACCAGAGTCTTGGATTTTTCGTACTATATTGTTAGTCATGGGTTTTGTCTTTCAACCAGATTTCTACTTTTAGAAGTAGTGGCTTATGC